AAGATTTTCCAAATGATTTTCTAAGTATATTCGATATAACTATTCGAATATCAAAACATTACTCCAAATCTTTCAAAGATCATTTTTAATCCTTACTCAAGTGTAAAATTAAGTTTTAATCTTAAAACAATTTCAAAATAATTTTACAAAGTATTTCGAACCATTTCAAAGCCAAAAATTCCAGATTGCTCAGAGGGAACCGATTCCCCTCCCAAGGGGGTACCGATTCCCCCCTGAATGGTTTAGCTCCGAGAATTCCAGTATGCTCGGAGGGAACCGATTCCCCCCCAGGGGGTACCGATTCCCCCCTTGTATAACGGTCGAAATATTTGAATTTTACACTTAGGGAACCGATTCCCCATAGGGGGTACCGATTCCCCCCACGCACCAAGCTGTTTTATTAATTGTTTTCACACTAAAACGGCTATAATATCTTCTCTAATCATCCCCAACGTTCAGAAGTGATTCAAGGTGTATTTAAGCAAGCTTAGAAGCCATTGATCAATAACAAGAAACATCAAGCAATTAGAATCAAGAGAGAATCAAAGAGAAAGCATCAAACCTCAAGTTTGAGCATTTCAAGCCTATCTTTCATTCAATATTCATTTTTCTTTCAAGAACACTTATTGTGCTCAATTGTATTTATTCTTGAGTGTTCTTTCTTTGTTCTAGAATTGTGCAAACATATTTGCCTTGTGAGGTTTTTCTTGTAAGTTTGCAAATTTGTATTTCTCTTTGAGAAAAGAGTGTTCTCAAGAATTGGGGTATATTCTTGAGGGAGTTGTAAGGTTATCTCTTTGGCCTCAAAAGAAAGAACAAATTAGTGAATTTGTTGGAAAATCCTTAGTGTGGATAGCTAAGGTAGTGGACGTAGACTTTGGTTGATAAAGTCGAACCACTCTAAATCGTTATGCAATTTCTTTCAATTTTCTGCAAAAGCTTCCACCAAAATTTTTATTGTCAATTCACCCCCTCTTGGCCGATTCAGTCAATCGATTAACTCAACAATTTACATGATTACATGTATATGCGATATGTGATACTAAACTACAAGAATAAATGAAAATATGATATCATCTATGTGATATGTCTGACATGTTATTTTATGTGACATGATCGATGTGAACATATAAGAATAAAATATGAGATACGTGAATTTAATATATGTGAATACATTCATATGTGAGCAAGATATGAGATACGTGTTTATATGAACACGTGTGAAATGATATAAACTATATGATACGATCTACATGATTACATGCACATGTGATATATGTGATATGATATGAACCTATGTGATATGGGTTATATGAAAAGGGATCTATGATATCATAATTGAATGTTACACAACGATCTATGAGATCATACAAGAATGTTATACAAGGTACATGATAATAAGTTATGAGATTACATGTTTATATGATACAAGTGATGTGTACTGTTATAAATGATAATGCCCATGATATGTGATATGAGAGTTAGGGGTATAGTTGGCATGTTAAGAGTCGAGGGTTACATATGTCCTTCGAGACATATGATAGGTCTTTCGGGACATAGACATCCTTCGGGATGATAGGTCCTTCGGGACACAGACATCCTTCGAGATGATAGGTCCTTCGGGACACAGACATCCTTCAGGATGATTGGTCCTTCGGGATGATTGGTCCTTCGGAATGATTGGTCCTTCGGGACACAGACATCCTTCGGGATAATAGGTCCTTTGGGATACAGATGACATCCTTCGAGATGATAGGTCCTTCGGGACACAGTTTATACGAGCTGTGGTGATAGCATATGTGTGCACAACCTCGTAGTACTCGCATACCTTTAGTTATCAGTAATGTTCATAGGCTTATAAAAGATATCAGTACCGTACATGGGCCTATAAAAGATATCAAAAGTGTTTGCATTATTATATGATATCGTGTTATTATTGTTTACAATGAATCACAAGTGTATATGGGCTAATACATGGGATATTAAAGAGATAACATAAATACGCTGTACGTGATGTATATGCTTTTTTATATGAAATATATTATAAGATTTATATGTGATAATGTGTGTATTGCTGGGTGAAATGTATTATATGATATGTTACAAAGGTTAAGTACAAGATGATATGTTTTAAATGGTTAATGATAATGATAGAGATCATGATAATGATGTTGATGTTGATGTCGATAATGATGGCATATGTGCATGTATGCATTTTGTTATATGAAATGTTCTATGGTTTCTATTACATGTTTTATATGTCTCACTAAGTCAACGACTTAGCGTGTGATTGTTTCATACGTAGGTTTCGAGAAGAAGAAGAATGATAAAAATTAAGCAAGACATATCAGTTTCTCCTTTCCAAAGATCAGAACAGAAAAGAATTGAATGGTATGTATTTTGTAATAATGATTGTGTCGGCATGCAACTAAATCTTTAAACCGTTTATGCGCTAATAAGTTTTATAACCTTTTTTGAGATAATTTATGTAAATTATTCAGTTTTATTTAGTGAAAGTTTAAAATTATTCACTATTTTGTACAAGTAAATGTTTTGAAAAGTCAATGTGACACCTCAGATTCGTATCCGGGTCGGGTACAGGTTGGGGGTGTTACATTTTATTTAACGGGGAAATTAACACCATTACCTACCCAGACACCTAAATGTGTAACGTTTGTAACATTAGGCACATGGATGAGATGAAAATTAGTTTAGGCACCTATTTAAGAAAAGTGTGGGCACTTATTTTGGTATTAAGCCAACATTATAATGTAATATTCACTTAATTTCTACAATTTTCTTACTTCCAAAGATAATTTGTTATTACGTGAAACAAAATAGAAAAATTGAAGCTTAACGACTACATCTAGTCATCTACAACAACGGCTTTTTTCGCCTATAAGAAATGATTTCTTAAAAGGTAAACTACACAAATGATCATTAATATTAGAGTAATTTTTGTTTTCCCAATTGAAGTTTTAAAAATAATAAATTGAGTCACTAACATTATCGATTTGTAATGAAATGATTACTCCACCTTCATCATTGTTAAATTGATGATATGAAAACGTTAAAAAAAGGTTAATATTTAATTTACCCCATAAACTACTTTTAAAATATCAAAGAGGTCCTTGAAAAATTATTTTATATCTATTTTACCAAAAAAAATTCTATTTTTCAGTTTAGTGTTACCAAAACTTCAGGCGTGGAAGGACGGGCATTGAGATAGTGAGCAACACAAATTTTAGCCAGTTCAGCCATCGAGAAAGCCAAATCCAGGGGATATTTATGCATAAGAGAAGGATCTATGAAGTTCTTGAGCTTCTCTCTCTCAGTATCTCCATCAAGCACTGCTTTGATCGATGCAAATAATAGCTCTTCACCTCCACTGTTCTTCTCAGTACTTACGGCATTTACTCCCTACCACATGCCTTGTCAACTGCAATCCACATTCATTATTGCCCTCAAGAGTTCTTCCCAACCCAAAGTTGACAACTTTGGCTCCAAATTAAGTTAGCATCCAACAGAATGTTACTGGTCTTCGATTTCTTATGAATTTATGGAGGATTTATATAGTTATATATGCAAATAGTTGAGTGCATCAGCTCTATCATAAGCAATCTGAACTCCAAGAGTTTGGAGTGTAATTAGTTGAGTCTGAGAAAGGTTTAGGATTGGATGGCGGCTTTAGGGGCGATGAAGAAGCTATTAGAATGACCTTGTGAGCTTGGCCTTGACGTTTGAAGAGATAAAACAAGAACCCTGCTAGACCAAGAAGGAAAAGAGAACCGACTCTAACTCCAACATTGATGAAAACCCATGTCTTAGAAGACTTAGAATTTGATTCTCCAACAGGGGAAGTTGGTATTTGAGGAGCAGCGCCTGGAGATGGATGGGGATCTCTGAGGCAGTTCAATCATGGCAGGCTCTTAATAAAGTGGAGCCAAACTGGGTGTAAAAGGAAATATAATATCAGTCTCACATAATTCATTAACCTCCAATATATTCTTTCCCTCAGCACCAAAAATCTAGGCAATCTAAAAAATGAAACAGCCGAAGTAACAATATAAGAAAGCAAGTATTTTGCACCAACTCGAATCTGATTCTCAATAGGACAAGCTGGAGATGAAAATCAGAGAAAATATAGCGAATTTGCAGAGTTCGTGAAGAGAAATTGAGGCCATTTTTTTGTTATTGAGAGAAGCTTGAATTGTTGAGGAATTTGAGCTGTTAGATGAATAAGGTCTGAAGTGTATAATGGAGTTGTAAAAGTGGGTTGTGTCATGGTGGCATGGAAACAAAAGTTTCTTTAAGAACTTAGGGGTAAATTGATATAAAATCATTGTTTAGATAACTATTCAATCTTTAGGCAATAATTTGAGGGTAAAACTAAATATTAACTTTTTGTTAACATGTCATTTCATCAATTTAACATTGTTAACGATGGAATGATCATTTTATTATAAATCGATAATATTAGTGATCAATTTGTTACTTTTGAAACTTTTGAAACTTCAATAGGAAAAACCAAAAATTACTCAAACATTAGTGACCATCTGAGTAGTTTACCTTTCTTAGAAACCTTCTCGTCAAAGGATTAATAGCTAAATCAAAATAGAAAATGAGAGGGAAAACATTAAATCTGTAAGAAATCGCTCATGGAATGACGATTCAAACAACAAAAAGTAACCGATATGAACATTAATGATTTTCCTTCATTAACCACTATCACAGCAACAGCATTTTGTCAAAGCTCTAAAGAAGCAAAGAAAGAACATCAGTCAAAAAACAATTCAAAACAGTTTCAATCCAATTTATTTAGATCAAACAGTGAGTTAGTTTATCTGTCATATCATATGACCAACAGCAAACATGCTAAAGAAAGAATTGGGTTTCCCAAAGGTTTTTTGTGCACCTCTGCAATGAGAAAGTTCATAAACAGTCTAGGATAAGACAATAATGGCAAGTGAAGCCATTAGAGAATTGAGTAGAAAATATTTCTCGACCCATCATAGGAGAAACAGGAGAACATGGAAGTTGGGTGAAGGACCTGATGTCGAAATTTGTCTGATAATTCTTCTGAAGGAAAACTCTAGATGATTTGATACGTCTGCTATGGAAAGCTTCTTGATAAAGTAAATTCTTCTAAATTGGAAGTTGGGTGAAGGACCTGATGTCGAAATTTGTCTGATAATTCTTCTGAAGGAAAAACTCTAGATGATTTGATATGTCTGCTATGGAAAGCTTCTTGATAAAGTAAATTCTTCTAAAGTTATATTCCTGATATTAGGCTCATGTTTGCAGCCTGCATGGTAAGGCAAGAAAGATATATTTAACTAAAGCTCCCCTTATGTCATCCATCCGAGCGCTTACCAGCAAACGAGGAATGAAAATGACCTTACGAGGTGTGTGATTCAGCCATTAGATTTCTCTCTATTCATATTTGAAAATTTTCTTGATCCCTATTAGGTTCTCAAATATATATATAAATCATTCTCTTCATATTCCAAGGCAACTGCTCCTATTTTCTTCATATGGTGTATCACAGGAACCCATCAAACCAGGTCATCCAATTCTATGAAATCTTCTTCTACAATTGACTGTAATTCATTGCTGGTTAGTAGAGATCCCACCTGCATAACAGTCATTGAACAGAAAAACTAGTTCAGTTCGAAGAAAGAATGCATCATCTTCTTTGAAAGGCCTACCAAAGATTCAAGTTATTTGATATGGAATTGAGATCTAGAATACATGCATGTATCATCGATAGAAATGTTTTAAAACCGATGTCTGGTTGCACAAAAAAAGTATCTACATAAAAAAAAGGGCAGCAATATAGTTCCCTTGAAGTAAAATGTGCTCAAACAAGGGTTACCAGATCATTGGGTCGGTCCGGAGGGATGCCTGAAGGTAACTCTAAACTGGCAAGAAAAGCATGTCTAGTTGCTACTGAACTAGCTACCTCCTTAGTGAATTTATCACCACCGATTCCAGCTTCATGAATGCAAGGTCTGGGAAATCCATTAGGCCGAACACCAACGTGACGAAAAGCTGAAACACTTTCTTCTGCAGAACAACTAATAAGATTCTCCGAAACACTTTTTCCCCTACGAGGTTTAACCAATACTCGGCATAGGACGAAAGAAGCCTGCAGATGATCCAGACATCAATTTCATGGAAGTAAGAGTAACAGAGCCTCCCCCACCATTGAAACTAATCTAAACATATATTAAAATCTTTGGCATGGCATATCTTAAAAACAAAATATCATATTTTGAAAGAGTATCCACAAAAAAGTCAGGATTTACTAAGACTTTACAACAAAAATTAGGCAGAAATTTACATACAGATAGACTTTTATCCAATAGTGAAACGCAGAGACAATAATCGGGTAACTTTTATGTGTCTAATTGCATCAATTTGCCTATCCAGCTGAATGGAAAACCGAGGTTATGTTCACTAAAATGATTAACCATCTAAATCATTTTGGAAGAACAACAATGCACGCTTTCAGAAAACCATGAAGATCAACAAACAAACAAGTCAGGACCAAAATTAACCCACTCAAATTTGGGAAAACTTCGAGTTAGTTTCAGAAATCATTTTTCCCCCAGCAGTGAAAAGAACCAAGGTCAGTACTGGGGAATGGGGCTTTGGAACATTAAAGAGAGAAGCATTAAAAATAAAGCAAAAGCAGGGTGGGTTTTGTTGGAGATTGGAGATGACACAATTAAATCTGCAATAGATACAAAATTTGTCAGTTTCATTTAATCACTACCTACCAAACATCAATAACAAGAAGCAAATCCACTAAATATTACCCTCTTAAAAAAGGAAGGGGGAAGTGAAACAAAGTACGGTCAATTTTTTTTTACCTTGAGATGATGAAGCAGGGCATACTCGTACATAATCCAGGGAGTCCTAACTTTTTCCTTAACTGAATTAACCGCATAATATACAAATTTAGCTTTAGTCCCCAACACTACATTTCCACCATCAACTACATCCTTATCTTTCCCTATTCTCCTCCAAAACCCACCCTTTGCTCTTCTCCTCCTGTCCCCCCTTCCTTCACTCTTCGTATAACAAAACCAGTGCCTTTTCTTCTCCCGATATCCGTGCACAAAGCAAGTGCCATCAGGCAATTCAAACGGCTCGTAATCGTACAAGTTGAGCTCGCTTATCAAATCGCAGCCGCAAATATCATCGGGATCGGCGGCGACGGGGTTGTTTTTCACGGTGAGATAAAAATCAAAAACCACCTTTTTGGAAGGGTAGAACCGACAACCTGGCGGAAGACGATGTATGGACCTAGCCCTCGATGAATCCCCTCCTTTTCCTCTTGTATCTATCAATGGAAGAATCGAATCTTGATTGTTGCACATTTTGGGAATTATCTTCTAGTCGAATCAGAGGAGAGAATTTGTTCTCTTTCCAGGAATCGAAAGGAGGGGTTTTTGGCTAGAAAAAGGGTTTTAGGGATTTTGTAGGAATTTGAAAAGAAAAATCGACTGCGTGCAGGTGAAGCTTTCCTTGCAAGGTGAAAGCGTTAGTATCCGATTCACGTGTATGTGCTCCTTATCTTTGATGAGATTTTTTTTGACGTGGAGGGATTCCATTGGCTGTTATTATGAAATTGGGGTGACGGCGGGGTTTTAGACTGTGACCTTGATATGGTCAAAGTAGGAGAGAATAATTAGCGTGAGATGAAAGCCCAATGATATCTAACTAACCTGTCAGCCGTTAGATCCAATAATTCGCTTCGCTGGCAGTTTCAGGTAGTACGAGCAAATGGTAATACCTGGAAATATTTTAATAAAAACTCCTGGACTTTTCCACAATTCATGGGAGTTCCCGGCTATGTTGTATGGGTAGTTTTGCGGTGCGGCGATTAAAAAACGGTTAATATATGATGTGATCGATTAAATAAGTGATCGGTTAAAATTTAGATCGGTTATGTTATATTATTTAACCGGAAATATTATAAAGTACAATAACATACTAGGTAGCGCTTATATAATGTAATAGGTAGCGCTTATATTTACCTATTTTATAAGTAAACCGGTATATTTATACCGATAGCATTGTAAATTTACCTATTACATTATAATATGTTGAAAGTGTCCATACTTTTTATAAAAATGATCGATACTTTTTTTAAAGTTATGTAATTTATGTTTCAATTTTTTTTAATAGTGTTTCATGTTTTCCACCTACAATATTAATTTAATAATTTCATTTACACAAAAAATTATTTGATTGTTTTGATATTTTATAAAATAATATTTAGAATTTAAATTTAACAATATTAACCAAAGATAATAATAAATATGTAATATATATGTTTATTGTTTTTAATTTAATAATAATATATATCGTAACGTAAAAAATAAATCATTAGACGCCTATAATTACTAAATTAATATCTTAAAACTCACTCAAAATATAACCTTAAATTAATGTTTTCCACAGTGAAAAAAGTATAGACAATTTTATAAAAAGGATAGATACTTTACAATATAAGCACTACCTATTACATTATATAAACGCTACCTATTACATTATATAAGCGCTACCTATTACATCATATTTTTACCTATTATATTGAAAGTGTCCATACTTTTTATAAAAAGGATCGATACTTCTTTTAAAGTTATGTAATTTATGTTTCAATTTTTTTTAATAGTGTTTCATGTTTTCCACCTACAATATTAATTTAATAATTTCATTTGCACAAAAAATTATTTGATTGTTTTGATATTTTATAAAATAATATTTAGAATTTTTAATTTAATAATAATATATATCGTAACGTAAAAAATAAATCATTAGACGCCTATAATTACTAAATTAATATCTTAAAACTCACTCAAAAGATAACCTTAAATTAATGTTTTCCACAGTGAAAAAAGTATAGACACTTTTATAAAAAGGATAGATACTTTACAATATAACCACTACCTATTACATTATATAAACGATACCTATTACATTATATAAGCGCTACCTATTACATCATATTTTTACCTATTATATTGAAAGTGTCCATACTTTTTTATAAAAAAAGATCGATACTTCTTTTAAAGTTATGTAATTTATGTTTTAATTTTTTTTAATAGTATTTCATGTTTTCCACCTACAATATTAATTTAATAATTTCATTTGCACAAAAAATTATTTGATTGTTTTGATATTTTATAAAATAATATTTAGAATTTTTAATTTAATAATAATATATATCGTAACGTAAAAAATAAATCATTAGACGCCTATAATTACTAAATTAATATCTTAAAACTCACTCAAAAGATAACCTTAAATTAATATTTTCCACAGTGAAAAAAGTATGGACACTTTTATAAAAAGAATAGATACTTTACAATATAAGCACTACCTATTACATTATATAAACGATACCTATTACATTATATAAGCGCTACCTATTACATCATATTTTTACCTATTATATTGAAAGTGTCCATACTTTTTACAAAAAGGATTGATACTTCTTTTAAAGTTATGTAATTTATGTTTCAATTTTTTTAATAGTATTTCATGTTTTCCACCTACAATATTAATTTAATAATTTCATTTACACAAAAAATTATTTGATTGTTTTGATATTTTATAAAATAATATTTAGAATTTAAATTTAATAATATTAACCAAAGATAATAATAAATATGTAATATATATGTTTATTGTTTTTAATTTAATAATAATATATACCATAACGTAAAAAAAATAAATCATTAGACGCCTATAATTACTAAATTAATATCTTAAAACTCACTCAAAAGATGTATATACCTAAATATGTAGTTATTGTACATACCTAAATATGTAGTTATTGTACATACCTAAATTTAATGATAATATATACTTGTAGTTATTGTACATACCTAAATATGTACTGCGAATTTAATATTGTACCCACCCTTTAACTACCACTACCAATGCCACATCCTATTGAAAGCAGCACGACTGAAACATGTTCAAAATGAACATTTGCTTACATCTCCATCAACTCCTGGAGCACTGAACTTGCACAACAAAATTTTTGCCATGGATAATACTGATGTAGACAATGTTAAGCCAACCGAGGAATGCCATGAAGTACATAATGTTGATGAATCTGACAGATTGGTTGGTCAGCTCTTCTGTTCACGTGATCAAGCTTGGTACTTTTACAAGGGATTCGCACGGGAACATGGGTTTAGTGCACGTAAGGGAACAACACGGCTTGACGTGGAAGGGAATGTGAAGACACAAGAATTTTGTTGTTCCAAAGAAGGGTTTCGAGTATCAAAAGTCAATACTGTTGATCGTCAACGTGCTCATACGCCAGTCACAAGAACAGGATGTAAGGCTAGAGTCGTAGTTACAGCAACAAATACAAACGATCAGTGGGTTATAAGTGAGTCTGATCAGAAACATATTACATTATACTTTTGGTTTTCGATGTTTTTGGGATCGACACTTTGTATATATGGATCGACACTTTATGGTTGCACCCTGTTTTCCATTCATTCTGGACCAAAACTATCGACACAAACTAAAAAAGTGTCGACACATTATTTAGACATATTCTCTCATAAAACCGGTATACTTGTACCGGTTAGATTGAAAAATTACATATTACATTATACTTTTTGTTTTCGATGTTTTTGGGATCGACACTTTGTATATATGGATCGACACTTTATGGTTGCACCCTGTTTTCCATTCATTCTGGACCAAAAATATCGACACAAACTAAAAAAGTGTCGACACATTATTTAGACATATTCTCTCATAAAATCGGTATACTTGTACCGGTTAGATTGAAAAATTACATATTACATTATACTTTTGGTTTTCGATGTTTTTGGGATCGACACTTTTTATATATGGATCGACACTTTATGGTTGCACCCTGTTTTCCATTCATTCTGGACCAAAAATATCGACACAAACTAAAAAAGTGTCGACACATTATTTAGACATATTCTCTCATAAAACCGGTATACTTGTACCGGTTAGATTGAAAAATTACATATTACATTATACTTTTGGTTTTCGATGTTTTTGGGATCGACACTTTTTATATATGGATCGACACTTTATGGTTGCACCCTGTTTTCCATTCATTCTGGACCAAAACTATCGATACAAACTAAAAAAGTGTCGACACATTATTTAGACATATTCTCTCATAAAACCGGTATACTTGTACCGGTTAGATTGAAAAATTACATATTACATTATACTTTTGGTTTTCGATATTTTTGGGATCGACACTTTTTTATATATGGTTCGACACTTTATGGTTGCACCCTTAATGTGTATCAACATGACCCTTAATGTGTATAAGAAACATGTACAACAACATACTGCTAACTTTTCTCATCTCATTCATAATTATATTCACATACAAAATTATAAATCGTATACAAAATTATAAATCTTATACAAAATTAACCCTACATTTACATCATTGCATCCTTTTGTTATTCTTATGTATCATGGCAGCTTTTGTTATCTCCTGTCTTCGTTCATTTTTATTGTGGCTTACGAGATCGTTTAATATTCGGGATCGATCCCAGTCTCCAACAACCTATATTCAAATTGTCAGAACGTTAAGTATTGTCAACTACAGCATTCAATCTACGACTTTTAACAATTTTACCACAAACGAATTTTTCTTTCCACTTACAAAATCACCAGTTGCCCCTGTAGAACCGATCGATTCCATCCACATCATCACATACATGCCGCAATCATGTATGTTACAAAATTTGAAAACCACACATGTCAATTATGATGAATACTGCATAAATTAAGCTTTCTATTTGTGATAACATCTCATACCCATTCAATTGCTTATTTTTCTTATGCTCCACAAATTTGAAATTTTTTAAGGGATAATTTCCTAGAGATCCACAGGATTCAACCCAAATGCGTTTCTTATTATAAGAATCTAATATTTTAATCTGCATTAAAATAGAAGAAGTTATGATCCAAAAAAATTATGCATTATAATTTACATAATGTCCTTTCATACATACATACATACCAATCTCTTAGCATCCTTCACTCTCTGTTTAGCTGCTTCAGTTGTAAACATACTATCATATATTGTTGCAACACGATCTACCATATCCAACACCAACAGATACCAATATGAATTATGGTAGTTTATTGTGATCATGATCTGCAACAAATTTCACACCCAATTTGACAAAATTCAACATTCTATATCCGAAAACATCATTTGCAATTGGTATGGTGTCTTACCTTCTCACAGTCGGTGAATTTCACATAGTTATTCAGTATGGGACCCCAGAAGGTAGCAATACCCTCAACACTTTCTTTGTTGTTGGCATCCAACACCTGCTGCTGCAATTATGCAACAAACATTATTAATTTACCGTCTATAACACTACTTATCTCCATTTATTAATTTAACTCACCGCTAAGTGGTATGGAAGGTAGACAATCCTCCGGAGTGACTTCTGAGAATCGTAGCATA